ATTTTCCTCTTGTGTCTAATCAGAATCTCCCCAGGAGTAACGTGTACCCATAATATTCCTCTTACCGAGATATGACATTTTTGGGGATATCTAATTGTTGGAGATACTTAAGGAAAAGTGCATAAAATTGTGATTCAAAACCAAGAAAAGACTTTTTTTGCACAACTCTCCTCTTTCTCTCTTTTGTTCATTGCCACTTCCATCCCTAGTATCTACTTACTGCCAAATTACTTTTGCAATAAAAACACACTGAAGAAATTTCAGTTTCAAGATTTATTTTCTTTTAAAGGATTTTGGGGTGGGGAAAATAGAAGTGCAGGGTCATAGAATTTAAAAAGCTTTATACTTGCAGCTAGCATTTTTAATACAATGCTGCAAATTCTCAACCTACATAAGCTGTAATTTGCTTTATCCTCAAGGCAGTGAGGAAATTCTTATGTACAGCACATTTCTCTAGTTCAGTACTTTTTTTGTAATTTTTTTCTGTGTAGAGTTATGTCCTGATAGAACATATATCATTAGTGTGTATGTGTTACTTGAGATTTGAAGCTGCCTTTTTTATTTTTTCAGCCTAAAGTTGATTTAAGGGTCCATGTGGATAGCTACTCTACCTGGTAGGTTTTTTCACTGCTGTTTTGCAATTTTGAGCAAGAGCTGTGCAGTGTAATGCTTTTTGTATACCTTTCCAAGCAATGTTAGTTATCTGAAATGGTGGCTCCTACAAGAGGACTATTTTAGCAAAAAAAAAAAAAAAGATTTGCATTGCTATGAGTTCTTTAGCTTCACTGTTTATCTGTTTATCACTGTGTTTTTGTAACTTACTATTTCTCAAGAATCTGCAACTGAAAAGGCAACAGTTTTTCCCCAGTCGAGTAAATGCTGCCTTTGGTAGGAAAATTCCTGTTGCCCAGAAGCCTTCAGACAACCAAAAACCCTGTGCAAAAAGAGCAAAATATAATTACTTTTGTTGAATAATATGTTGACCTAAACTTAACAGTAATTAACTGAACAGCGTGTATCACTGCAGGCTGCACATAAGAAGGTACTTTCTGCTGCTGCTTATTCATAAATCTTGCTGATTAGCAAACCTTTCATTTTGCCCATTGCTTTACTGAATTCCTCCTGTTTCTCTGTGCATTCCCGTTGGGATCCCATGTCGTGCCTCAGACTTGTTACGTGTTGTTTTTCTAGCAGCACAGTGCAGATGCACTGTGGGATGGAAATCAAAGGGAGAGCTGCTTTTGCATTGTTCAAAGGTGTGTGTCTGCAAGCCTGTGCTGGGTTTGGTCTCCCACTTGAATCTGGTGGGATGGCGAGACATGTAAACAGCAGGCGTTGTCCCTCATCAGTGCACGGACCAGGGTTTTGGTTGAAGGCAGTAATTCATGTTTTTGATGCCTTTCTCTGGAGGCTTGAAGCTTGAGCAAATGTGGAAGATTCTTCCACTTTCACAGATGGTAGAATAGTTTGGCACAATGTGCTGTGCTGGGGTAAGTGGGAAGGAAAACTTGAGTCCTTTACTGTTACTCATCTGACTGTTAGATAATATGCTCTTATTTGAGTGGTCAGGACTGTTTTATATAGTTACATATACACTTAAAGATCAAAAAATTCTTCCAGAACATGGGATATTATCTGTTGGAAAGGTTAGAAAATCAAACCTGTTGTTTATTTTAAAACCTGGATGCCTCCCAACTCCCTTCCCTCTTTCTTTCTTCTTCATCCCTGACACCCTACTGTCATTACATTACTGCCTCTGTTTAATTTTTCATAGCTCGTATATAACACCACCACCACTTAAGACAGAATCAGGAAACTACTGCACTATATCCTCTGCTTTAAGGCAGTTTAGGCAGGTAAAATATGAGTCACCCAAGCAGCAGCTTTCTTTGTGGCTAAAGGTGTTTGTAATCTGATGTTCACAGTGCTGTTAAAGAATGATTGCTAGAAAGAGTTTATATGCAAGTTTCCATATGTAAAGCCTCGTGCTGCATGAAGAAAGGTAGAGGGGAGAGGGTGGGATCTGGCAGTGAGGTTTTTTCCGTTCTCCCTCTGTTATGAACCAAAATCACTCTTCCTAAGGAGCTGCTGACCTGCGAAAGTATCACAGGCTTCTCAAGCGAGCATTTATTTTGCTTCTCGTGTTCTCATTGCAACAGAGTCCATAGGTGGAAAGAAGGGAAACAGTGACTGAATAATTTAGGCCTGATGTGTGATACCACACAATAAAATGGTGTCATGGGTTAGGGCTGGGCCTGCCACTAATGAATGACAGATGCTCTCTATTAACCCCTCTCCCTCACCTGAAGGGCGAAGAACCAAGACAAATGGTTTAGCACAGTACAGCTTTTGCATAAACTAATTTGGCCTAGTGTCTAGGGTACATAAAACATACAAAAGGTCTGGACTGAGAGGTAGGAATGATCGGAAAACACCAAAACCACAGCACAACTCCTAATCTCTATGTATTTTCACTCTGTCCCATGGAACATCTACATCCTTAGAGTTGTAAATAGTATGGTATAAAGCATCTGTTTCTGCTTAGAGGGCTTTTTTCCTTTTGCTGGGCCCATTTTTATGAATTTGATTTCAGATGAGGTCTCATAGAATATCTCAAGTTGGGAGACACCTGCAGGTATCATCAAGTGAAACTTCCTGCTCCTCTCAGGACTACCTAAAACTAAACCATATGACTAAGAGTGGTGTCCATACACTCCTTGAACTCTGACAGGCTCAGGGTCATGACCGCTTCCCTGGGGAGCCTGTTCCAGTGACTGACCACCCTCTGGGTGAAGAGCCTTTTCTGTTGTCCAGTCTGAACTTCCCCTGATGCAGCTTCATACTATTTCTGTGTATTTTCTAGAGGAACCAAGTGCTTTGGCACTATTTGGTATTTGGTAAGAAAATATGTCCTCTTTATATAACACAGTGACTAGTGTGAAAGTGAAGCCCTGATTAGTTCAGTTTAAAATAATGGGTTTGCACCATTGTAGTGAAATGTATTGTAGAAGTAGGAGATGATTAAATGCCAGAAGAAAGCATAATTAATTTATGTAAGTTATTTTTCAGTTACTTTAAAATTGACCTCTATTTTTTCTTGTAAATAATTTGTTTAAACATGGATAGCCTCTGTTACTAAAGCTGTACTGATACTTCTTGACACTGCAGATGTGGTAAAGTGATATGTGCATAGATGCACATAAAATGTTGTGGTCAAAGTTTAGTTTTGTTTACAGAGGTTTTTTAACAAGTACAGCGTGCAAATTTGGAAAGATTTGCTGAGACTGCATTCTGGGCATATAACCACTTCCAGTATTCAGTTATCTGGATATCATTCATTATCTGAATACCTGAGATTCATTAGGTTGACATTGCAGAAGGCCTGTTAGTTATGCATGCTCCATCTGTTTAGTTGATTTAAAAATGAAACGTATCTACTCCATGATACAGGTTAAAAATCTTTAACAGTGTGATTAACATTCATAACCAATACAGAAGACATTATGCAGCTTGGTTAATGCATTATCCAGGCTGACTGACTTATGAAGTTGATTTAAAAATTGGTGACTTTAAGTAATTTTCTAGTATATACTTGTAAGATATTGCCATGAGCACAATAGAAAGGAATCCCTGTAAACAGGAGCTGAAATAAAGTGCAAGAACATGCTGTAAGTCAGCAGCAAAGGAAAAAAACTTTGAGAACTGTGGAGCATGAAGAGGAGAATGTGAAGCTGTGATGTTTTCTCTTTGATGTGGAATATCTGCCTGCAGGTTTTCTGATGAGATACAAGCTGACAAAGTACAGTGGTAAGGCAATGTCATGCTCCTCTGAGCCCTGTTTAAGAAGGGAGCATCATGGGCATGTGGTGGGACTGGAGCCCTGATTTTTCGTCCTGCTGTCTGAACTAGTGGGCAGAACTTCTAGTATTATGTGATATGCTGTACTAAATTGTGCCAAAAAAGCCAAGAACATTTATTGAAGATAACGGTGTGTGAACCCCGAGCTGCAGGCTCAGCAGCAGTTTCATTTATTTAACTGCATTACATTGTCAGTTTGATGTCAGCCTGTAAATCTTCACAGTTGCCTTGTGTATTAATACAAACAAATGGATATACGTAATTTTTTTTTTCTATAATCAAGTGTAAAGAACAACTTTATATTTTCTACTGTTAGTAATGAAAGTTGTAAGAAGGTGTATGTAACAAAGCCCTTGAAGCAATAGATGTTTTCTGCACAATGCACATTGTTAGCACGCACTACTAAGGGCAGCTAACTATCTCTATATCATGCAGCTTTCTTTTATCCTGCAGTGCATTGCTGAGCTGTTTGTCCGTAGGGGTAGCACCTTCCCTTGAGCGGATCAGTGTTGCAGTGATTAAGGACGTTATAGTGAGGGCCATCTCATAGGATCATGGAATCGTTTAGGTTGGAAAAGACCTTTAAGATCATAGAGTCCAACCGTTAACCTAGCACTGCCAAGTCCACCACTGAACCATGTCCTTATTAAATACTTCCAGGGATGGTGACTCCACCACTTCCCTGGGCAGCCTGTTCCAGTGCTTAATAGACCTTTCGGTGAAAAAGTTTTCCCTAATGTCCAATCTAAACCTCCCCTGGCGCAACTGAGGCCATTTCCTCTCGTCCTGTCGCTTGTTACTTGGGAGAAGAGACTGACACCCACCTCGCTACAACCTCTTTTCATGACAGCATTGATTGTATTCTTGCTCTCTGGAAAGCTTTTCTAACTCTGGTAACTTGAGTTTTGCAAAACTGTAGCCATTCCAAATTTATTTATATTTACTTATTTAGATTTTGTATTCTTTTGCTTTCCTACCCAAAACTCCTTTTCCAGGTAACTATGTGCTCTTAATCGGAGGTGAGGACAGGTGGGCAGCAAATAAAATGTTGCCTAAGATAATTCATAAAATATTTTGGAATAACAGACACTGTGGAAGTATCAGAATGAAATGTTACTAAATATGTATTTTTTAAACTTTAGGCTGGGCGATGCAGGTTGCTGCCTTTGTTTTCATTCAGAGAAAGTGGGAAGATGATAAGAGTCACTTTGAAAAAATGCTGGATTATTTCTGTGACATTCGTGAACCACTACAACTCCTCATCTTTCCAGAAGGAACTGATCTCACAGGTAGGCTGCATTTGTCGTCTTCTCGTGGAGTGTTTAACGTGGAAATTCTTCGTTGTTTATGGAAATAGTTAAAAAAAGTTCAAAGTAGGAGCAAGACTGGGTTCTCATGGGCAGTAGAACTTATAGTTAATAATCATATGTGCTGATTCATTTGAGAGGCAAAAATGTAGTTCCACTGAGAGGCTTTGCCAGTCTTCCTGAAATAACTGTTACATTTCAAAGCATCTGATGATTGAAATGGCTTTGTATTGGTCAGTGCTGTATGTACACTGCATTAGCAAAAGTAGGTTTCAAGACCTGGAATAAATCACTTGCACGTTCCCATTCTCCGTATTACTGAAAATCATTCCAGACCTATGGAAGAGTGATTGAAGAGGGGGACTAATGATTCTATTAGATTTCTTGCCTAATGTTTAAGAAGAGAAAATGGAGATACTTGTCCCTTAGGCCATGTAAGCGGTCTGTATCTGCATCTATAAGAAAAATATCTCCCTAAAACAAATGTTGACACTATCGTAAGAGTAAATTTAATGAGCTAGATCCTGTAACATTAATTCTTAATAAAGTATCTACCTTAATATAGCTATCTTATGGCATCAGTAGTAACCTGCTAACCAGTGTTGAAGATGACTCAATTGCTGATTTAAAAAAAAAAAATATTTATGAGTGTTCTGTGGTTCTTCATGCTGCTATCTTATGGCATCAGTAGTAACCTGCTAAGCAGTGTTGAAGATGACTCAATTGCCGATTTAAAAAAAAAAAAAAAATTTATGAGTGTTCTGTGGTTCTTCATGCCTGCAGCGTGATTTGATAAGCAGCATCTTTAAACAGAAAATAAATTACAATTAAACGTCTACCTTTTAGTTTGTTTGAAAGATACCTATATTTTCCATTGCAGATATTCTCAAACCATACTTTATTGCAATGTCAGATCAGTAACTACTAGACATAGTAGAAAATAACTATTAACATATATTGCTATTTTTTTCTCCTGTATTCCTGATAGCCTTAAAAATGGATATGTATAGTATTCAGATGCTATCACACTGTAGGGAATTGTCATCCCTTGATCAGCCTTCCTAAAAAAGGATAAATTCATTGTACATTCTTGAACTGCTTCACAAGATATCTCTTGTTAAGTTAGGTTTTTTGTATGTAAAATTAGGAAGAAAGGTGAAAATTACCTCACTTTAATTTTTTTTTCTTTCAATTCAGGAACAACTGTCCCCTCCTAGCTCTGAATTATGAGATGAAATCTTAATCTTATCCATGGAGTCAGGAGACTCCTCCTTGAGTCGCTCACACTCTCTGAACAGAGGTTTCTATCTCAAGATGATTGAAAAATTGGATTGTTTGTGATTTATTTCACAAATTATGTATTTCTTCTAATCCCTCCTGGTATTCCTCAGAGACAACAGATTTTAAAGAACTGAGGATGTTTTGTACTGCAGTTTTAAAAAGGAAGAGTTAGCTGAGGACTTACAGCCACAGTGTGTTAACCCTTGTGTTGCGGAGTCCCAGGGGCAGTGGTGGGGATGCTCCCACCTGAATGTGGAGTTGCTTAAGGAAATACAGGGTTTTCTCTCCACTGTTGTAATGGGTATAAATGACTTGGACTAAATTTAAGTGTATGCTGTTGATACCATCCACTGAGAAATTGATGTGGACGAGATTCTTCACTTAATGTTAAAAAATTCTCTAATTGGAGTTCTGAACACAGATTTTTGACAGGTTTTTTTTTTTTAAGGGATTTCTGTTGTTCTGGTTTTCCTTCCTCATACATGTGTGACACATACTCTTTAACTTTGCAGTGTCAAATGAACATCTGCGCTAACTGCACTGTTCTTCTGAAGCCACCGCAGATGGGTGGTGATCATTTCCCCCTGGTTTGTTGAGCAGCCCAGGGCAGGAGGCGATGCGGTGGGAAGGACGGAGTGGCGGGCAGGGAAGACAACAGGGCACTGCTTCCTTGGGCAGCTGTGCTGGCTTCTGACATGCTAAACTGTCTGGTGTTTGGCACTCTAACTTGCCATCAGTAATGAATGCCACCTTGATATTATATTTGTGCATAATAAGATGTACAGAGACAGGTAAAACCCCGGGGCTTTTTCTGTGAATGTAAGTAGCTCTTCCTATGTAATTGTCTTCACAGGAAACATTAGCTCATGTATTTTAAAATATTGCAGGAGACAGGGCAAAATCTCTTGACAAGCTGATCCTGACCAAGCAGTAAGTTTATGCCATATGAGAATGATAGAACATAATATTTTGTGTAACATTTTGAAAAAATGTGTTTTGGAAAACTGTTGTTATTGGACCTATTACAACCTCATGTTCCATCTTCTAGAATAAGAAATAAACTGCAGTTTTGTTCTGATTGGTCACTCAATATCCCAGGGAACATTTTGCAAAAATAGAGACAATGACTCTTGTTTTCTGACCAAATTCCAAACCTTTTAATTATTTCTGAAAATAAGATTGTCCTGGTGCATAGAATGGAAAATAACATGGTACATGTACTTCCCTGAAAAGCAGAATTGCTGTGCAGCTCTGTGCTACTGTCATTTTTTTATCCTCTCAGTGGCTGCATGACAATGATACCATTTCTTATAAAGAGGAAATCTATAATGTTTTCAGGTATTCGAGAATGAAAGATTTCAAAGAAGTGTCAAGTATGACTGTATTTATACATGGGCCACTGCCTGACTTCAGGTTGTTGGAGTACACTTTGCAGTAGAAGATGCTATGTAAATAAATTTTAGAAATAGCAATGTCATGAACCCTGAGCAATGTGTTTGCAGACTGGATGTGCAGGGTCTGAGGTAATAATGATATACTTATTTCTGATAGGTTGGTCATCTTTTCACTCTGGAGTACTTCAAGGTTAAAGCTAAGTGCATCAAAGGTATTTTATTATAATTGCTTAAGAAGCAGCCCTGAGCAGATAAACATATAGCCAGACTTTCTGAAGCCCTGAAGAAAACAAAGCAACCATAAGTCTAGTGCTTCTGGAAAGCTGGAATACAATCCACCATTTTGCTTGTTCTTTTGTTTTTCTTGGTGTTTCTTACAAGACTCTTTGTAGTAATTCTTCAGAAAGCAACAACAACAAAAAAGTTGCTGTATTGCTCTGCACCTGTTAAAGCCTCATTTCCTATGGATTTGTGTCCGCATCCCTATACATCGTCTATTTTTCACTCCAACTTCTCCTTTTTCCTTGTGTTTCCTTCCATGTGGCATTTCCTCCTGTCTCAGCAAGAGGCATCGTGTCCTGTGGCTCATCCTCCAATACTTGTGTTAACTGACGGACCGCTGCATGCTGTGCTGAAAGCCCTGGCAGACTAAATACTAGTGGAACCTGCCCAGGCTTTTCCTGTTACTAAGTTCTCTTACCTCGGAGGCTCCCCTTTACTGAGCCACTAGTTTTTCTAAAACTCCTGTGGGGCTTAATTATCTTTGAATCTCTTGTCTCTGTCAAACTTTGTTTGCAGGTGGCAATAGCTTCAAAAGTTAAGGGGAACAGGTGGATGGAGTGTGATTGCACAGACCTTTTTTTCCTTGAGGAACAGCTAAAAAACAAGTAGGAGAGCTTGTAGAGCCGAGATTTTGGCAGGAATGTTGTGATGTGGATCACATACAATATTCTGTCTAGAAGGTAACAATGAACTGTAGTTGAATTTTTTTATTTTTTTCCCTTTTCTAGTAAATGTGGTAATGCAAAAAAAAAAAAATTGTTCAAAAGCACTGGTAGAGGTTGATTTAACATGTAATAGTTTGAAAGTAGCACAAATAAGAACAATTTTTCTTAAAACATTAGCTGAGTCAATATAGATTTATGCTTTCTATGAGAAATTTATTTATTTTAAAGAGATTTTTGGAGTACTCATTCTTTCACTTTGAGAGCACTTGAAGTTGTAGAAGTATATGCCTGCTTTTATCACAAGTCAGATTAAAGGAAAAGGTAGTACTTAATACTCAAATTTCAGTGAAGAAAAAAAAAGTAGTTGAGAGTTGATCAGAAATAGTTGTATTAAAGTTGTCAGAATCAGCTTTCCAGTAGGATAATGAGGGAAGTTTATAATTCTTTTGGTTGACACCCAGCAAAACACATCAGCCTGGACAATGTTTAATCTGTAAAAGCATGTGAGCTTGTTTGTTTGAGAGGAGCTAATACTGCATACATATTTCATGGAGAGCACAGACTTAGCTTGTCCTTGGGTACAGGTCTTGGAGCTTTAGTTCCAAATACTCTTCAGACTCACATGACTGCAGGTTGTTACTGAATTATGGCTTTCATCAGAGTCAAATTGTAGTGTTTTTTGTTTTAATTCAAAACTAGCTCACAAAAATATACTTTGACTTTTTTTTAAAAAAAGAGGAGTTTGTTCACTTTATCCTCTGGTTTTCAGGAGCAAAAGCAATTTAACTTCTTAAAAATCTGTAACTCAAAAATTCTGAAGTGTGATGCTTCTAGAAAATGCTGACTTTCTGAGCTTTTCCAGTTATTTAAAAATGTGGTAAATGGGATTTGCCCGTATAATTTTGAGGTAAATGGGGGGAAAATGTAATCCAATGATTAGGGGAAAAAAATGTAAGAGGTTATGGTCAGAACCCTTAAATTCTTGTTCTTTTGTATGGTTTGACAATTGCTCTGCAGTAGTGTCTACAGACTCAAATAAATTGGACTTCTTGTACTTGTCACCACCCCAAAGAACATACCCTTTGAGAGGCAGCCTGAACTAACTGAAGGAGACAGGAGATGAAAGGCAAGTCGATGTAAGACCAGAGAAGACAGAGCATGAAGCAGTTCTGGATCAGGAAAGGTCCCACATCACCCTCTATTAATAAACTGGCTGCTTTCCCTAAAAATTTTATTCTACATATTCTTTTTTATCATAGGAGCAAGTAGAACCAAGGAGTTAAAATGCAAAATACATCTAATAGGAATGATGAACAAAAACTCTGGGGGTAGATTTACTTTGGCTTAAATACGATGTAAGTAAGAAAGTACTTGTTTCTAGAAAGCAATGTTTACTCATACTTTTCAGGAGGAGTAAGCAAGAGGGGGCATTATCCTTAGCCAAATGATGAGCCACCTTTTGGAATTGAGGAGACCCAGACTCAGTTCATTTCCAGTCCCTGCTTCAAGAGCTGCTTTATGCAATTTATGTTAATTGGTTGGAAGTAAAGAGGAGAACATATGTTTCTTCTTTTTAAGGAAGTGTTTTCACTATCAGGCTTACAAAGGCATCTTCCACTTTTTTTTATTCTTTTACCTAAGAATGTTACAGTCTGGACTGCAGAATGATGAGGCATCTGCCTAAGTTTTGCAGCACTGACAGTGTAGCCTGGTCTGTTGATTAAGGGATTTTAAAGAGGGGTTTGTTGCGCCAATTCCCGTAGGTTGAAGAGGATGTAAAAATGGATTTCTAACTTCCTGCATCAGTTTTCTAACCTCTAGGTTTCATACAGTGAGGAACATCCCATTTTCTGCCTTTTGTTGAATCCAGATCTGAGCAGGACACTTGCTCTGAATTTCCCCCAGAAGGTTTAGGCACAGGGATCCCAAACAGCAGTAGGCACCAAAGTGCTTACGTCGGATAAGATGGCAGTCAGTGCATTTGTTCATAAGTAATAGCAGAGTAAGAAACTGTTTTCTTCAGATGCTGGGAGTAGCAGGAGGGGAGGAAGGGCATTATTCTTACTTTTTGGTAGAGTGAAAGTATATCCTACCCTTGCATTCAGGATAGCATCAAAACCCTTTGACCTTCCTGACTTGCTGTAATAAATATTGTTTAATGCACCTGTGGCTTGATAGTTGTTAGATCGGGAAGAGGGAGATGATTTTTCCAGATGATGATCATTGTATTAGCTGGAAGCGTTATTCTAGTTCTAAAATCCCATTACACTAAGGTCATGCAAAAGGGGAAGGGAACAATCTCTGTTATATAAAACTTACAGTCCAGAGGCAAGACAGTGATACAAATACCAGGAAATAGCTGAATAGTGTTGGCGGATGTGCCAATGTCCAGCTGTTCACACGTTTTTAGAAAGGCATTACAGTAAAGGGAGATTTGGAAGATGTTTTGCAGATGTTTAAAGCGAGTTCTTTCCAAGTGCAGGGAGGTGCACTAAGAGGAAGATGATTACTTCAAGGCAATGGGCAGTGGAGGTCCCAAACCTTTTTTGCAGCATCAGTTAAGTCTTGCTTAGAAAAGGAAACTGCCATTTCACTCTTTGGTTTTCCTGCGGTGCAAGTAGAAGTGTTTTACAAACTCCGAGGAGTTAATTTTCATGCTTCCTCTGAAACAAAGTGCTAGTGAGCAGACATATGGAGAGGGTTTTTCTAAATGTTCATTAACTGTGTGGTTTGAGATGCTTAAGACTTAATTTTTTTTTAGACTGCTTAGCTATCTGGCATTTGTATCTCAAAGCTTTGATTGACTTGATTTGCAGGTTGCAAATGTTCCAAAATGAAACCCAAACTTGGATATGCAGAAAATGGAGAAGATACTTCTGTCCTTTGGAAGAAATAATACATTAGCTTAAAAACTTGGTGATAAATTCATTTAAAACATTTAAAATTCATTTGAATCACCACAGAATCTGGAAAAGAACTCTGAGCTTGTATACTTTTTGTAGGAACACTCTTGGTAATCAATGTAATTTCTTGGACAATAAAAAGTTTTACGTTTTTGAGCTAATAGTACAATACAGTTATATGTAAGAGGTAGAATATGGCTTTTCAGAGGAACATTAACAATTACTGGATTACTATTGCCTTTTCTGCCATTCCAAGTCTTGCTCATGACTCACTTTGCAAGTTTTGCCATTGCAGAGGTAGGAGCTCTAAAGGCAAGTTCCCTTCGCTGATTCAGAATAGTCAGTTTTCACATTGAATGGAGTAGTAGTTGAGCAAACAAAAATAGATAACTCTAATCGTGTGGTTAAAGGCATAATGCATATGTCCAAGGAAAGATAAATTTAAGTTACATAGCAAGTGTAATTTTAATGTTTCACACATTCTGTAATTTTAGCAACACTTTTTGAAGATGTAATATTTTCAAGTATTTGTACGTTCTGGCAATTTGGCAAGAATTAAATCTTTGGATTCTCTTTGCTGAATCACTCGCTTGGCTACCATGCAACAATTTTCCTTTCCTCCAGATCACGTGGTCAGGAAATCTGTGCACTAAATCTTAAGGGTTGCGTGTATAAAAAGTAGTACTCTTATGCACAGAAACAGCGCTTCACAGGGAAAAAATACTCGATATACTGATATGCTATAGCATTTATTAATAGGTAGATAGTCCTTTAGGAGGGACATACACATTCTTTTATAAACAAAGATCTTATGTAATTTAGGAAAAAAGAAAGGTGCCGGAAAGTTGCCTTACTGCAAAAAGGACACCTCACACTACTGCTGGTTTGTCCACTTGTGCTATTGTTCCTTTACAGGAGAAATTATGATGATTATAAGGGAAAGGACTTATCCATAAGTATCAATTCTGTTAAATTACTAAGCAGCAGTCTGTTTTTCATTACTCTCTCTCCCATCTCTGTTAAGGTTAGCTCTGGACACTTAAAAAAAGAGCTGTTTCTGCTTGAAAAAGAAGATGTATTGCTTAGGCAAAGATTTTGTTCCATAGATCTGTTGCTGGGATTTTGTCTTTTTAAACACCTGTGAAACTATATAAATATGAGTTATTAAAGAAGTTAGTTGATTGGATTGTTGTGTTTTTTAGTTTTTGTTTTTGTTTTTTTTTCCCACGTTGCCAAAGGAACATTGCGTGTGTCCATTTCCTTTTGGCCCCGGGGAGGAACAGCAGTACCCACAATGAAGGAGTAAGCGTAGCCAGCGAAGTCCGTTTGGCTGCTAACTGAGGCTGCCTGGAAGAGCCTCCTGCACATCACTGGAGAACAAATTGCTTCCTTTCCACCTGTCTTCAGAAGTTTTCGCTTTATTGTCCACATCTTCCTTGCTTAGTGGGTTCTGTTAGCAGTTGACTCTGAAAAGCCTTTGTTCGGTTTTCTTGTGAGAGATGACTTTTTGCCAGAGGTTCGAAACATATTTGTCATGGAGTTTACCCATGCTGCTTTCCAGCTGCCTTGTGTATACTCTGTGTACAGTACCAAGCGTGTGTTGCGACACTGAGGTAGTTTGTCAAAGAGTTAAAACAGGGTATGTATGTGCAGCACAGGTTGATGAATAAAAAGTGTTAAGTTCAGAATGAAGATGTAAAATACCATTTTAATGTTTACCTCCATTTAATGTTTTCTTTCCGAAATAAGTTTAACATGTTCAGACATTGACCTCAGGATATTTCTGTGCATAGTATCAAACCTACGTTACTATACATTGTGCCTTTTGAGTTTTATAAAAAAATTGAACCAATTAACACATTTTACTGTAAAATAGGTATTGAAGTTTACAGAGAACTAGTAACAGACTTTATAGATTTCAGATTCCATTTAATAAATATGAAAGAGTTGCTGATTATTTTCTAAAATGAAATGAGAGGGTAAAAAGGGTTTTCTTGCAATCCACATTGCTCTTCCTCATACCATACTATAGCCAACGGAAAGCACACTTGCAGCCTGCCTCCACCCGAAAAGCTGTTGCACATTTGTACTGTGTGAACTGCTGTTGTACTGTTCCTGTCGTATAATAATAATATTTAATTTTTCATCTGCATGCACACTAATAGAAAATGGTGCTTTTTATTCTCTCCTTCAGCCAATACCAAAGCCCGCAGTAATGAATTCGCTGACAAGAATGGACTTCAAAAATATGAATATGTCTTACATCCACGAACTACTGGATTCACTTTTGTGGTTGAACGTCTAAGGGAAGGTAATCCTGCTCTGTATTTATTCTCTTTTTACTTTAAGATAATGAATCTCACTCAAGCTATAGAAGCTGATGTTCACAAAAAAGTAATTTCAGAAAAAATGTATGGATCTTGATTACAAAAACGCCTGTGTTTGCAACCCTACTTAAAATGATTGTAACATGAAGAGATATGAGAGAGTTGATAACAGATACCAATATCATCAGGAAATACACAGTGGATGAAAACAACATTTTCTCTCTTTTTTTTTTTTTTTTTAAATAGTGTAGCTTGTTTAGCAGAAACCTCAGAAAAACAGTGGAAAAGATCCCAAGGAAGTTCACCCTGACTATCTGTACTAGTCCTTAACCCTGACTGAGTGGTTGACACCGAACACACAGACGTGTATAACACTGACCTCTCTGAAAAGCTTCTGGTTTTAAGCCTGAGAGCTGAGACAAGTTGCTATGTTAAACGGACAAGGGGAATGCACAGCAGCATGTAGTTGCAGCAAGTCAGCTGCCCAGTGCTGCCAGCTTTTTCAGATGGTGGTGACTTGGAGAAGCTATGTAAAATAGGAGTTGTGCTGCTTGTCAGAGTGATGGGTAAGAGAATGTGTGATCCTTGCTCTTTACCTAGAAATGGTCTTCCATCCCTGTATTAATTTAGGAGTTGAGATTGAGTGCCTATTGTCAGAGAATGGAGTATAAACATGTGATTGCTTGTTAGATCGAGATGTCTGTGGGTTGTTTTGGGAATGGGCGTTTCAATGAGGTTTGAGGCCATCATGGTGTAACCGTTAAATGATACTGATTGGTGGTGATTCAAATACAGATGAGTGAATGTTTGTAGGATGTATGAATTATGGTTGAGGAAAATAAACATGCACAGTAGATATGAAGTGACTTATTTATAGGCTAGTTCTTTAGGAAAAAGCAATTCTAGATGTTTAACACATGCTGGTTATTCTGGTTGCCAAAGGAAGTTTTAGATTATTAAAAAGACTGAGGGCCTGCTGGTAGATTTCTTTTTTTCTCTTGCTGGAATCCTTGCTTGGATTTTAGGAGCAGAGCTGGCTTGCATTTTGCTTGATTCCTACTAAGCAGATATCCTAGAATCACTGTAAACACATCAACATTTTGTCCAGCTGGGCAGTCCTAGCTGGACCATGTATCTATTTGACCCTATTTTTATTGGACATTCAGCAGTAGACATGTTAAACTTTCAAAGTAGATTAAATTCTGTTACTCAGTTTGCTGTAGTAAAAATAATTTGCCGCATATGCAGTTTCAAAAGCTTGTTTTACTTAAGACTTTTCGGGTTAACCTAGTGCATAGTAGTATTTCTAGCCTGGAATAAATTTTCAGTTAAAGGAATGTTTTTTGTTAAAAATATTATCAGCTTAAAAAAACCCCAACTTCTGTATTTGCTGCAGAAGTGAACTTTTGGTTATACAGTCATTTTCTAATTTTATAAAAATACTTTTCTATTGTTGTATGAGATCTATGCAAATTAGGCTATTGGATTATAAAAAGGAAAATATTTGAGGCTGATTAACTGATATTATGCAGTACAAAGCTGGGGAAAACCCAGAAGCATTCCTAGATTATTTTTTTGTCCAGTCTTTCAAATGCTTTTAAGGCAGGTAAATATTGTGTGAAATATTAATGTCCCTTTAGCATTGAATTTACTAGGTGTTAGGTACCTTGAATGGCATTATAAGCTATATATATTATGACTGTGTGCAATTATGTATTAAATTATATGTGAAATGGTAGTTCAACTACCATTTAAAAATACTTAATTACAAATTTAAGAATTGATTTTCAGTTGTTTGCAAATGTGCCAAATATGGACCATTTGTGTTGAAATATTTTGGGTTTATGGACAATCTAACTGTAGTTGATTGACTTTAAAACACTTCGATATATTATATACCTGCATATGTATTTTTTTTGTCTGCAATACAGTCCTCCATGTAGATTTTCAGATACGGACGGCATAGTTGGTACCTAGTGTTACTGTGCAGCTCTGGTCTGGCTTTTTTAGTATTAGAATGCCTTTTCTACAATTCTAATTTCTGATACTAGCGGTAATAAAGAAAATCAGGGGGTTTAACTATATGGTGTTAACATAGGACAGAGCTCAGAGTGTTTTGATCAGTGGTGCTGAGTCTAGTTGGAGGCCTGTAACTAGTAGTGTTCCCCAGGGGTCAGTATTGGGTCCAGTCTTACTCAATATATTCATCAACGACCTGGATGAAGGGACAGAGTGCACCCTCAGCAAGTTTGCTGATGATACTAAACTGGGAGGAGTGGCTGACACACCAGAAGGCTGTGCTGCCATTCAGCGAGACCTGGATAGGCTGGAGAATTGGTCAGAGAGGAACCTAATGAGGTTCAGCAAAGGCAAGTGCAAGGTCCTGCACTTGGGGAGGAATAACCCCATACACCAGTACAGGCTGAGGGTCGATCTGCTGGAGAGCAGCTCTGTGGAGAAGGACCTGGGTGTCCTGGTGGACAGCAAGTTAACCATGAGCCAGCAATGTGGCCTTGTGGCCAAAAAGGCTAATGGTGTCCTGGGATGTATTAAGAAAAGTGTGGCCAGCAGGTCGAGGGAGGTTATTCTTCCCCTCTACTCTGCCCTGGTGAGGCCACATCTGGAGTCCTGTGTCCAGTTCTGGGCCCCCCAGTTCAAGAGGGACAGGAAACTACTGGAGAGAGTCCAGTGGGAGTGCTATGAAGATGATGAGAGGACTGAAGCATCTCTCTTAAAAGGAAGGGCTGAAAGACCTGGGGCTGTTTAGCCTGGAGAAGAGAAGACTGAGAGGGGAGCTTATCAATGCTTATAAATATCTAAAGGGTGCGAGTCAACAGGATGGGGCCAGGCTCTTCTCAGTGGTGCCCAGTGACAGGACAAGAGGCAATGGGCACAAACTGGAGCACAGGAAGTTGCATCTCAACATGAGGAAAAGTTTCTTTACATTGAGGGTGGCAGAGCACCTGAACAGGCTGCCCAGGGAGGTTGTAGAGTCTCCTTCCTTGGAGATATTCAAAACTCACCTGGACGTAGTCCTGTGCGACCTGCTGTAGGTGAACCTGCTTTAGCACGGGTGTTGGACTAGATGATCTCCAGAGGTCCCTTCCAACCCCTACCATTCTGTGGTTCTGTAACATGAGTCCCTGTTCCTGGACTGTCCTAATGCTACAATAGTAGCAATAATCATAAAAATAGACTTCCTGTTCGTGACTACAGGCATAAAGCAGTGTGTGTGACTTTAATGTTCAGGAGGGAGTGGTGGAGGTTTTAACATCATGTTTACGTCTTTGAAAGTATTTTTGTGCATAGATGACAACCTTATTGCCCTATAGCTCTCCTGTGAATACATTTTGGCTCGTGGCTGTTTTCCATTCCTGAGGCTCAAGTGTCTTTACTTCAGGCCTGAGTACATTATTTTGCTCCAAAAATAGGTTGTTGAAGAGAGAGGGAAAATGTCATTAGAAGTTTAACTGCTTTTCAAATGTTGAAAATACTAATTTAATTTGGCAAGAACCCCGATTAATATGCATTCCAAGCTGTAGCATGAAAGAATTACCTGTTATTACATAAAAATAACTATTAGCGACCCTTCTGAATAGGAAATGAAGAATCAGGAAAAAATAACCTTCAGTAAAATGTTGCTTGATTCTCTGCAGGAGAGTTTCTTCCTAGAGGAAGCACTATCTCCACCCTGACTGCGTAATTCAAGCAGTTATCAGCCCTATGTATTTCATAGGTGGCAAAAATTTCTGAACCATGTTAATGGATTTCTGCCTATGATGACCAACACTGATTCTTCTGGATGCTTTCTCGCTCTTACATGTTCATTATTTCAACTATTTGATCTTTTTTGCCCATAGATGCTGCTATGATGGTTTCTAAGCCATTGCTGAGATTATGGGAGCTAAGAAAAAAAAATAAAATCTATATAACCTCCACCAAAAAAGCAATAAAAATTGTTTAGGCAATACATCTCCTTGTCTTTTGAGTCTCTTACCTTTTTTTCCACATTCTAGCTCTTCATGAGGGATAGCTCTTACCCCCTGAGCTGACCCTTCTAAACAGAAACCCAGGTAAAAGCTGACTGGTTTTTCCTTTCATTATGGTCAGGTGCCAAAACAGTGAAAATATTACTTTATTTGTAAATGATCACAGTACTGTTTTTCTCATTCATATAAACCTTAGAATCACCCAAGAATAAACACAGACTATCAACATGGTTTAGATGTATAATTCATAATATACTCAGAGTAAGGACTGCAGTTGTTGCTGTTTTTTAAGCAGGAGAAAGACATAAATTTGATTGAGCATTGATTTTTGGAGAAGAGTGTACCTTTTGGCTCAATAATAATTTTAAGTAGGATGGCTTAATATAATGTCATCGTTTGTGTATGGTAAGAGAAAATACAGTATAGATTGAGAGCACAAGGAGGGAAAGACTGCATGGTAGCTGGATAAGATCAGCTTTCTACATGATCCACAATATAGACTGTTACCTGAAGATGTGGAAGTGAGTAAGAGAGGAACAAAAATTTCAGTAAGGACTAATGAAGATAGAAAAGTATTAAATATACTTAGGCTAATGTAGATTAACAAAATATATGCATTTTTCACCCCTGCAAGAAGATTATCCTTCTTGGGAATGATTGTTGAATTTCTAGTCGATTGTGACAGTCAGTACAACAGACAAAGCAGTTTTGTGAGATTCTTCATTAGTCTTTGCTGATGCATGTTACTTATAATAGTGCTAGCCTTTTTTCCTAGCATGCTTTAAAGTTTGCTTCTGCAAACACTTTGGCCTTATGCTATCAAAATACTTCAAAAGACATTGTATGAGCTCAATTAATTGTACATTTTCTCAGTGCTGAAGCCCATTTGCTCACTTTGATCACTTATTGTGACAGCCAGAGTAATTACCCTGCAGAAAACCGAATCTTTGTGACCAAAGTGACCACTGCAATCCCAAGTACTATCACATCTGGTT